AGTATATTTTAGCTAAATGAGCATATTTTAGCTAAAAAAAAGGTTACAAGCAGCTATTATGTATAAGATAAATGAGTATATTTTAGCTAAATGAGTATATTTTAGCTAAACAAAGGCTGACAAAAAGCGATTAAATAAACCAGTGTATTTGTCCCATACAAATTTCTGATAAGATTAGCTTCAACTCATTCTCTCAAGTGTAATTTTAATTCAGTTTTTAAAAATTTTTTTAAAATTTCCCCAGGAAAGGAGAGTCATAAATGAAATCACCAGATACCAGTAGGGGAAGAATAAAAAGAAGGTAGAGTGAAAAATGTCTAACACAACACTGCCTGCTTAGAATACTTAATGTAAAGAAAATAGTACAATAAAAAGAATATATAAAATAATCTCATTCCTTTATCAACTGCTAATATATGTTGTAAATAGTAGCAAAGCAAAATGTTTAATTAAAATACAACATCATAAATCTTTATGATGCATTACTTAAAGTGGTAAATCTAAGGTAAAATAAAGTGGGGGCAGCTTAAAGAATTGCCCCAGGATGAAAAAATAGATTCAGACAGAGTAGCAAATCTCCTGGGACTATTTCAGAGTATTCTGGAAAGGGATAGCCTATCAATGCCCATTTACTGTCTGGCATGCAGTAAAGGTATTTGCTAAACGTAAATGTAGATTTCTCAGAAAAAGCCATACAAGCTTTAGATACTAAGATAAAAGCAAAATATTACTTTTTTTTTTTTTTTTTGCATGGTCATGGAGTTCGAGATCTTCATGTAACAATTACTAAGCCATTAGAAATATGGCTCTGGATTTTAGGACTCCACGTCTGAAGGTTGGCTTTGATTTGAAAACAGGAAGATATAGATGAGAAAAAGCCACATAAAGCTACATGGAAGTTTCACAAAGGAAATGGATGATATCAGGTTCAGCATGAGTTTCACTGAATTGTTAGATGCTTTTCAAAGAATCACACAATGATTGCATTGCAAAAGCATTTTAGATAATCTTCTACACGGAAGAAATACCTTCATATCATTATGTTCCTATCCTGGAGAGAATGATACGGGTCCTGCTGAGTTTTGTAGACAAATACAGTAGGTTCTTATTTCCCCTTTCCCTAAGTTTTTAAGTTATTGAAATCATTTCCCAGTGAAGAGGATAGCAGTTTTCTGGTGATATTCGGAGAGTGTCTTTTCAGAGTCCTTTCAGTAGGAGGCAGATTTCCAGTTGAAGACAGGTGTGCCCAATGAAACCCCCAATGGTGACACAGCTTGGGGCCTGACCATACTTTATGCAACTTCCAGGTCTTTCTCTGGCAGGCAGCGTGCACGGGAGACTCCCTAGTAACGCAGTCTCCTCAACGGCAACTCAAACTGCAGCTCAGAACTCAACACTAAGATTTTCCTACCTGTGTATCAGCAAATTTCTAGACTGAATTCTAGATAAAACTCACAACGTCACTAGTAATTGTTGTATAACTATTGCACTGGCAAAAACAAGCTTTCACAAACGTAAGCCACTTATATTGCTTTGGATGTCAGAGAGACGGAGAGGTATCCCTAGACGCCTGGTACCTAGAGTAAATATTTAGTAAACAGGTTAGGTACCTTCAGTGACTGCAGAGAGTCTGAATTATTATCACAGTAGAGGATGATGTTGTTGGCCATGCTGAAACTTTCTCTCACTCCAAGGTGGTAAAACAAGGACGGCTGTCGGAAGGCATCACTCATCTCCACCACAGCAATATCTGCAAACAGAAAACAAAGCCCCCAAAAGATGACACCTGAATAATGCCCAGTAAGCACATTGTGGTTTCAACGACTTAGTATTCAAAGAGGAAATGAGGAAATGATAGGGATTTTCCCTCCTCACACTGAATTTTGAATTTGCAGCTCTACCCGGAAGTGGTTTTAGAAAATGCAGCAAACCTGCATTTTTTTAAACATGAAGGGGATCATATAATTACTGGAAACTAAGCAAAGTCTGCAACGGTGGGATGCTGGGGCTAATGCTCTCTGTTAAATTCCAACATTAAAACAAGTTAACTAAGTTTACAGAAGCAGATCCACAGGAAGCTGCAATAAGTGATAAATGTAAAATGAGATTTAAGAAAGCAAATAGGGGGCCATCTGGGTGGCTCAGTCAGTTAAGTGGCCAACTCTTGGTTTCAGCTCAGGTCATGATCTCAGGGTCAAGAGATGGAGCCCCACGACCAGCTCCACACTCAACGTGGGGTCTGCTGAAGATTCTCTCTCTCCCTCTCCCTCTGCCCCTCCCCCAAATAAATAAATAAATATTAAAAAAAATAAAAATAAAAAAAGAAATAGGTATGATTATAAATTAATCCAGAGCTGTATTTTATAACTAACTAATTTATTTATTATTATTATTAATATCCAGCAAGTCCCTAGCAAGTGTACTCAAGAAAAAAAGAAAGCAAAGGTACAGAAAATTATTACTGAGAAGGAAAATATAACCACAGATACAAATTCCACCAAAGGTCAGAGATGACTAACACCAAGGTAGTATAAACCTGATACCAATATTTGACATTAATGTCAAAAAAATGAAATATAGGTTAGTCTCAAACTCAATTTATACATGGGCAAAAACATGAAATAAAAATGAAAAAAATACATCAAGCATTATACTGCAAGAAAACTAGATCATGGGTTTAAAATCTATTTTGGGAATGCGGGAATAGGTCAATGGAAAAAAAAAATCATCGCATCTCCACAGATGCCCCAAGTTCTTTAATTAAAATTCAAAACCCATTTCTTATTAAAAATAATTGCAAAATAAAAACAGAAGAGCACTCCTTTAACATGAAAAATAATATATAGTCTGGGGTGCCTGGGTAGCTCACTCAGTTGAGCATCTGACTCCTGATTTTGGGTTCAGGTCATGATCTCAGGGTTGTGAGGTCCAGCCCATGCCAGGCTCCAGGCTGGGTATGGAGCCTGTTTGGGATTCTCTCTCTCTACCCCCCTCTGCCCCTCCACCCCCCTGCTCTCTTTCAGTCTCAACCTCTAAAAAAACTATATATATATTTTTTTTTTTTTCACAGCAACTGCCAACTTTGTGTTTATAAGTATTCCATGAAAATCAGGAAAAAGACAGGCAGCCAATTATTCCTACTACTAGTTGGCTTTCTGAGAATCCCAGATAATGCAATAAGATTTCACATAGTAAGGAGATGTAATACCATAAAATAAAATACACAATTATCATTACTTGCAGATGTTTTGGTTGTCAACCAAGAAACCCCAATAGAATCAACTAAATAACTATTATAAGCAATAATATAATTTAATAAGGTGTTGAGATGCAAAATTATTATGAAAATCAAGACCTCCCTTTGTACTTATAGTAAGTGTCTGGAAAATATAACGGCAAAACAATTCCAGTCACAATTACAATGAAAATGTTAACATACCTTACAGCAAATTTAACAGATGATGCTAATTTGTTAAACGTATTTGCAATATGTGATAGATGAAAGGTTAGTATCACTATAAATCATCTCTTATCGGTCAGTTTAGAACAAAGAAGCAACCATAAAGACATTATAATAGAAAATTAGGCTATGGGCATGAGCAGACAAACTTGCAAGAAAATAACTAAAATGGTAAGTAAATATACAAAAAACTCTATACCTCACTACTAATAAATGCACATTTTTTTAAAGATTTTTTATTTATTTGAGAGAGAGAGAGATAGTGAGAGCAGGAACACAAGCAGGAGGAGCGGGAGAGGGAGAAGCAGGCTTCCCACTGAGCAAGGAGCCCGATGTGATGTGGGGCTCGATCCCAGGACCTGAGCTGAAGGGAGACGCTTAACGAACGAGCCACCCAGGCACCCCCTAATAAATGCACATTAAGCAAACTCTAAAGTGCCTTTTTTTTTTTTTTTTTGTCTAACAAGTAGTCAAAAAAATTAAAGAATGTCCAGGGCGCCGGGGTGGCTCAGCTGGTTAAGCGACTGCCTTCGGCTCAGGTCATGATCCTGGAGTCCTGGGATCGAGTCCCACATCTGGCACTCTGCTCAGCAGGGAGTCTGCTTCTCCCCCTGACACTCCCCACTCTCATGCTCTCTCTATCTCATTCTCTCTCTCAAATAAATAAATAAAATCTTTAAAAAAAAAAATTAAAGAATGTCCAGTGGGGATGCAGAGAAATTCTGGCATGCCAAGGAGAATTTCAAACTTCCCAGGAGACCTCAATCCTTAAAGTTATGCACTTTTTGACCCTATAGCTCCATTCCTAAGAATTTACCCTAAGAAAATCCCTATAAATGTGGCAGGTTTCCTTGAAAGTATGTCGACTGAAATATATTTTTTACAATAAAAATGGAAAATACCTAAATATCCATTAATAGGAATATGGTTAGGTAGGTAGGCAGATAGGTAGGTAGGTACATAGTTAGACTCAAATAGTGGTTTATTATGCATCATTGAGAACTATATTGTTGCCTATATTGTACACCTGAAACTAACATAACACTGCATGTTAACTACACTGGAATTAAAATAATTTAAAAAAGAAAACTATATTGTAGAAGAATATTTAGCAGTGGAGGTAAACTCAAGGTATATAAAGTAAAAAAAAAATCAAGATATAATACATTATAATGTACGTATTCTATGTGAATATACATATGTGAATAAAAAATGTCTGGCAAGTTGTACACCAAAATGTCAACCATAATCATAGCTGTGTAATGGCACTGTGTATTACTTTTTTTCTTTATTCCCTCTCTATTTTTTTTTTACCATTTCTCTTATGAATCTTGATTACTTTAATAATTTAGGAACCCACCAAAATAAAAGAAAAATAACACTAAAAACCCAAGTGACTGAATGTAAAACCACACTGCAGCACCAAAAAAACAATGCAGACTCTCGAGAAGCTGTTTGATGCAGTCGGCCTTGTCTACTAATGAACGTGAGATTAGAATTCACATTCTGTGAAGGAGACATAAATCAGATCAAACGGAGGCTGAAGACACAGAGGATTTAGTGAGGTTATGAAAGAAGCAGCCAGGTCAAAGGAGCTTCAAAAGATTTTTTTTTCAAGGCTAAAATGACTTACGGTCTCTATAACACAAAGAGAGAGTTTTCTTTGGGGGTCCTTAACATTTCTACATCAAAAATCAACACATGAGAAAATGAGTCACTGCATCCCACCTACACGCCCCATCTGCCTCCTGCACCCACACTGCTTCCTCCTCCCACCAATGCCAACCGCTCGCTCTCAGTCACAGCGCTTGAAAATCAAGAGACAGCGTAAAATGGGGCCGAAAGAAACCAAACGGAACAGTAGTTGACAAAAAATATAAATGAGAGCCATGCAAAGAAAAATACTAGCTAAATTAAAGTCGCCACAAGAAGAGGGGAAATGGGTGATTTCCAGAGAATGACCTCCTGGGATTTGATGCTAAAATTAATAAAGGCACTGCAGAAGGCATTGGGATGAAGAGAGAAACTAGACATTCAAAATAAATGGTACAAGCAAAATAAGGTGTATTCATCAGGTCTGAACGTCTAAGCAGGAACAGCTCCATTTTTGGATGCTGCATAGAACATTAAAAATGCTTGATTGTATAATTTTAAAATACTGAATACAGTGCGACAACTCAGAAAAAGACTTTTTTCTACTTCAGGTTCAGATGACTGATGGGTTCTAATAAACTTAATTCTTTTCTAAATGTATTTTTTAATTTCCATGGTGTAAAATGTACTCTTCTGTCTTCTCTGGGGAAGTGATCAGTCTGTGCCCCATTTCTTAAATTGCTGAATTTGTTTTCTTATTGTCGAGGTTTGCGTGTTCTTTATATCATCTAGATATTTTTCCTTGGTCAAATAAGGGGATTTGCAAATACTTTCTCTGGGTTTGTGACCTGTCTTTCCAATCTGCTAACAGTATTTTTAGAAAAGCAGAAGTTTCTAACTTTAAGTCCAAGGCATCAATTTTTTCTTTTATGATTGTGTTTTAGGTGTGGTATCTTAAAAAATCATTGCCTAACCCAAGGTCACAAAAGTTTTCTCCCTAGAGAAAGTTTTCTCCCTAGTTTTCTTCTAGAAGTTTTATAGCTTTAAATTTTACATTTTGGTCTATGATCCATGTTAATATAAACTTTGTAAATGATGTGGGGTGTGGGTCAAGGTTCATATTTGTTGTACGGGGTGTGGGTCAAGGTTCATATTTGTTGTAAAGACTCTCCTTTCTCTGTTGAATCACTTCTGCTTCTTTGTCAAACACCAACTGGCTACATTTGTGTGGGTCTGTAGTTGGGTTATTCTGTGCCATTGATCTATGTGTCTATCTTTTGCCAACACTACACTGTTTTGATAAATGGTAGGTATTGAAATTAAGCACTCTGAGTCTTCCAACTCTATTCTTCTGTTTTCAAAAGTGTTTAGTTCTATTTGCTTTCCTGTATAAGTTTTAGAATCATTGATAGCTGAGAGCTATCAGTTGACAGCTACAAAAAAAATCCTCCTGGGATTTTGACTGATATTGTGTATTAAATCTATAGATCATTCTGGGGAGAACTGACATCTTCATGTATTGAGTCTTTCCATCCATGAATATAGTATATCTCTCCATTCATTTAGGTCTTCTTTGATTTTTTCCTCAGTATTTTATAATTTTCAATACACAGTTTCTGCATGTATTTTGTTAGATTTATACCTAAATGTTTCAATTTTTTGATGCTATTATAGATGGTATTCTTTTAAATTTCAAA